AGTTGCGAAAACGAGGTCAGACCACCACTGAAAAGAACATTTATTTGCTATCTGGTGTTAACAATCATCACACTCCTTAACACACAGCGGAAGTAAGCTCGACAATGCTACACCAAGGGTTTCGTCTAAAACGATACCCCCTTTTCATATAAATATATACCTGTCTCCTTTATTGGAAGATGGAGTGTTTTGTTGTGCATGAAGCTGCTAAACGCCTATCATTTTAATCTGCCTCCCTCAGGCGTCAACACATTGTCGAATTTGACCTTCATACAATTGATATGGCGCAGAAACGGTACCCTGTCTGATGAGCAGATCGCTAAACTGGTCTTCACCGTTAACCTTCAACTGACGATAAGTCGGCCGCCTTATCTCGTCTCTGAAACTATAAACGGAACCTCAAGACTACGTCTCGCCAACCTGCTCACGAGCATAGTGGACCCGGCTTACTTGGAGGGTGTGACGCGGGTCCGAGTCAACGTAAACATGTGGCCAAATGCGACAAGGTAGGTGTGCCAACTGTAGGTCTTACTGAATATGGGCTGGAGTTACTATGGCTCACTTTATGTTCATGCGTATTTTGGAGAATCATGCTGCTTGTGAGCGATGTTTGTGTTAATATATGCCAAACTGCTTAGGTGGCTCGATATTATCCAACTTGACACCAATCACGAGACCTTTGGGAAAGATAAAGATCTTAAGAATGTAGTGGTGAAGGTGGATATATTTCATGTGTACTACACATGAAGTCTGTAATTGTGTTCGCGATGAAAATGTGAGAGCATGAGGCTGGCGGATAATGGAGCTGGGACAGAACAACCGATACAGTTTACGAAGAAAGTGCGGTTCTCATATATTCTTCTGAGATAAGAACAATATGTGGACTTTCATTTCATATGGAAGTACATTATGAATAGATTCGTAGGTCAGTCTCACCAGAAGGCGTAGGCTGATTTGCGTTGTACCGCAGCCGTTTGGCATTAATATAACGTTCTGATTGATGTAGTCCATGAGACGCCCTCCAACGTTCCGGGCGAAGGCAGGCTGAGCTTTCGGTCGTCATGTGACGAAATCGGTCAGATCTGGGACTCATTATTGTAAAAGCCTCAAGTTAGCACGGATACAAGAACACTAACCGGCTTTTTTCCATATGATATAATTACTCATTATTCACCCTGGAGATTACGGAGGAAATTAAGTATAGCCTCCACTCTAAGGCTCCTTAGCCTATTCACGAGTATTACATATTTCGCCTTGGACGGTAAGTTTTATTAACAGA